TGTACGCTGCTATTAATTAAAAGATTGCTCAACACATTCAAATTTTATATTTATATTTTGATTGCAATACAATTGGAATGTATTGCACATTTGCAATGTTTCGCACAGGACACAATACAAATAATAATAAAAATGTATTTAATTTATTAAAGAGATTAAAGAGATCATAAAAAACTAAAAAATATATGTAATTTTATTTTATAAATATTATCCATACAATATATAAAATACGTGTACAAATAAATTGTTTTGCAAAAATAATTAATAAGATAAAATTAGAAGATATTTTAACAAGTTATTATTTTTCGTAGCTATTAATCTTGAGAGATTAAATAAAAATTGTTCAAGTGTCAAAAAATTGAATAAATCTTCAAGCGATACTTTCCATTGGAAAAAAATTTATCAAGTGATACTTTTTAAAAGAAAGACTATCCTCGATTATTTTGAGATTAGACAGCTGTTACGATCGCAGATTAAATGAATCCGCCGATTCTATGTTTGTTCCTCTATCCTTCGTTCAATTCGAGCTGGTGGCTGCGCGTCGTTGCATAATCCACACGGAGTTACGTAGATCCGGGGCTTATCGCTTCAGGATTTCCATTCTGTCTCATTATTAATTTCCATGCGTTAAACAGCCAAAGCATGGATTAGTTGGAAGCGTCGTTATACGAACTGTTGGAACTTTCTACCACAATTATGCTCGAGTCTATTGATTTTCAAGGAAATAATTATTTTTTAAATATATATATATATTTTAAATATATATAATTATTTTTTAAAATATATATGTGTGCGTGCGATGTGTGCACATATACACTTTACAAATACTTGTGATGAAACGCATCGAATCAAAATATTGCCTTGATAAATTGTTAATAAAATGCAATATGAAAATTTTTTGAATGGAGAATCTATCAAACATTTGTATTCTTTTATTAAAAATCTATAAAATAAATTTTATCCTTGTTTTATGCAGTAAAGAAAAGGATACATGTATAGTATTTCGAGAAGAATTTCTTTAAAGTAAAACTTACGTAAATAAACATTTAATTAACGAATAGATTTTAGATTAGATCAGACTGAAATATTTTATATTTCAATGTTGAATTAAATTAATGATGATCCAATCACTTGTATCTTACGTTAAGTTTCAATTATCATCAAACATGTTTATTATACAACGTTTATTACGCTTTTGTAAAAGTAATATCATTTAAAGCAACATTTCTTATCTACGTCGCGCAAGTCAGTGCTGTTACAAATCTCGTGATTTGTATGCATGAAGAGACGTAATTCGAACCATTGCGTCATGGCGAGGTCGGGGTCAGAGAGCTCACTGCAATTTCTGCGAGCATTTCTCAAGATGTAAACTTGGTCTGAGTGGTCCGTCGCGCTCGATGTAACGAGTGTGTACGCAGGGCGCTCGACTTTTCGCTTTTCGCTACAAACTACGGCATCGTCGTCGTCGTCGTCGTCGTGAAACGAGTGTACGGATTTGCTCTCTTCCGTCAAAGCGTAAAAAAAGCACATACAAATGTATTTTCGCAGCTAACGTCTCGTCTTATCTTCAAAATGTACCAACTACAAAATCAAGATAAAGTATGTACCTTCGCAAATTTTCGAAAAAGGCACATTTACGATTTCTGAAAATATCGAAATTAACTGTCGAATATTTTTGATACACAATCGATATTATTATTGAAATTAAATTAAACATTTGATTTTTTTCTTTTTTTTTGTTCCATTTTTTGTAGTTTTATCGAATTATACGAATTTATATGAACGTGAAAGTACGAATTTATATGAATATGAAATGCATCACTTTTTCAAATTTATAGAAGTTAAAATTAAAAAGTTTAAAAACTTTAAAATTTGTACGAGAACTTTTAATTTATTTTACATGTATGAGGTATAAGAATATTATGAAAGCAGCAAACTACGAAAAAAAAAGATCAAAAATTTTAGAGAATAGATGCTAATTTTTAAATCAACAGATTTATTCATGTCAACAGATTTATTCATATGAAAAACAATAAATAAAAATTTTTTAAATTAAATAAACAAGCTATGATTTCCTAAAATTAAACTTTGTTTTTTAAAATGGTTGTAGATAACTAATTATCAATCTTTAAAAAAAGTATGTAGATTTTTACAGAAGTGAAAAATTTATAGATTTAAAATTTTATTTTATTTTATCTAAAGATTTATTGAAATAAAAATTTTATAAAACAATAATCTGTAAAAAAACGACTATCTAACAATTTATAAAAATAGAAAATATCATTTTTAAAAACTTTGTATAAACCTAATATTAATTAATATAATATAATGTATAAACCTAATATTAATTAAATACATTTGCTTACATTGAATATTTCCAATGTTTTTATGAAATAAATGTGCAAGTATGAATTTAAAAAATTAGATATATTAGATAATTAATAATTTATACAAATAAATTGCAAAGCATAAAAAATTAATATTCTAAGAAATCGCTTTGAGATCGTTGCAATAATCAAGACTCTGCGCAACAGAGTTCTACTTTGTTTAAAACTTTTACTTGTCGATCAATGTGAGTATTTTAGAGGCAAATGGAAGCGCTTAATACATCAAGTTTAAAACAGTTTGTTATTGACTAAAAAGTAAAGCTACTCTTCAAAATGCTACTTAAAATGTTAATTAAAAGGTTGTTCATGATATCATGCGCCACCGTTTACTGAACCGTGAATAAACACGATTCACGATAAACCTAGTTTGCGTTTCTTATGCCGAGTATCATATTCATTTACAACTGAGCAAAGTTTAAAGTAAAAGAGAAAGATAAAAAGCTTAAAAATCTGTTTTATGTAAATAAATTCGTCTAATATATATGTTCTAATAATCTAGAGTGGAACATGTATAAATAAAACAGATTAAATTCTTTGAATTAATTTTTTTTTAACTTATTGTCGAAAATATATAATCTTTCATATATCATATATAAAATACTAAAAAATTAAAAATTTTTGTATTTATATAAAAAATAATTTTAATAAATATAATGAATGCATATATTGAGATTATAAATTTTTATTTATAATTCATTTATAATTGTTATCATTTATATAAATAATAAAAAATGATAAAAAAATTATATGAATATATAATTACATTTACGTAATTATATATTCATATAATTAATATGATAATATAACATGTAATATGATAATGTAACAATTATTTTATTTTATATCGTCAATCCATCTCTACACCTACACCTATGTTTTACAGCACAAATTTTATTTCACAAAATTCCATTGCGAAAGCAATCTTTGATCGAGCCCGAGTATCGCAATTCAAACGCACGTGCTTTCCGAAAATTTCACTGTAACATTTAGTGAATTCGATGTACATATCTCAGCAAATCGCATTTACATACCACCACCACGTGAAGCCTCCCATAAATAATTCATCAGGAGATGAATTTTGTTAGTGCGTAAAGCAAATGGAAATTTTTTTATTCAACCCATTGAAAACTCGTAGCTTAATATTCCGTTCTCCGAGCAGCGAAATATTAAGCCAGAGATTTCGTTGCAAATAAAAAAAAGGGGTAATGGTTTTCAGTTTGACCATCGCAACATTTATGCATTTCGCAAAACAGCCACGAAATTCCCCTCCTCGCAGGAAGGAAGCGCATTGCAACGCTCGGATGCGCTTCATAGCAGCGGTGCGATGACATCAGTGATAAACGACGAGATCAGGATGACATGTAACGCGAGGTGCGGTTGAGAGGCAGCGAATAAAATTAAAGAGCGATAGACAGATACGCGAAACGATCTCTATGAGACAAGAATTGCGCCGAAGAAGCGCGAAGAAAATAAAGTGAAGAGAAAAGGACAACTTCGCTTGACGAAGTGAACAAAATCGAGTGAAATCCCGAGAGAAACGAATGCGCCTCTTTTATCATCGAATTGGCTCACATTCATATTTCATAGTTTTTCCCCAGCATTTATACACCTCACATTTAGCTAAATATGATGTAAATTTAATAATCAGGTGAACCGATAGTCGATATTATTATAAACCGAGTATCTCGTGGAACTTGTATTACAAATATTAATTTCTACTCGAATGCGAAAGAGATCTTTATTTAAATAGCTTACCTCGCAGAGGAATTGTTTTCCGGTAAAAGAACTTTGGCAATATTTTCAATATACTTTTAACAGACTCCATCGCTGGTTGATTTAACGTTCCTGTCGGATAAAGTTTATTTCTTAATTTGATTCACCGTCGACATGAATGGTACGCTTCCTCGCGGAACATTCGCTTACACGATGAACCTGTGGAATCTCGTCAAAATCGGAGCACAAGTCGTATTCCTTGTATTGGTAATCGTGCGAGAAAGCCTGAAGAGGGAAAACGAAAGACGCAATGGTGCGCGGGAGACCAGGACCGAAGGGATGAAAGGGAACACCCCCTAATCCGGAGGGGATCGGGGGGCCGAGGGGGACAAGCCGCAGACTCGGTGATATACACCAGCGGCGAAAGAAGGACAGGGAACATCGGGACCACGAAGTGCGAGAGGGACGGGGGAAGGTGCAACGTGGCGACGAGGGAGAAAGCAGGAGGAAAATGAGGTCGGAGCGAGACGCATGACCGGGACGCAACCATGAAAGGGACGAAGATGTGGAGCACGCAACCGAGGGAGGAGAGAGAGACCGGGGGGACGGCGAGAGGAAACGAAGGAGGAGAGACGATCGAGTGGTAGCTCTCTCTGAGCGAGAAGTCGCGAGCGGCAGGCAGAGGTGCGGAGCGAGAGAAAAGGACTTTCCCGAGAGGTAGAGACCTACATATTCCGCGAGGCCATTGAGACGGCGCAATGTGACGGCACGGGCTCTTTCCGTCCTCCTCCGACCCCTTCTGGTCCCAACCCGTCTCCGTCCCGACCACGGCGCCAGCGCTCTGGGACGATGGGACGATGAGGGGGAACCTGGGGGAAACCGAAGGCGGCTCGCCGGCTAGAACGCTGCGAGAGTTCAGTTGCTCACGAGCATCCGTCGACTGATGAACATGGCCTCTTACGCATCGAACAGCGCGAGTGTCGTGCTCCGAACCGCTCTTCTCCTCGTGGCGGCGATCGTGGCCCTCGGCGGGGCCAGCACGGCCGAAAACGGCCTCAAGGTGGACAAGTTGTACATGCCCGAGGTATGCGATGTCAGGTCGAAGAAGGGCGACCAGCTGACCATGCACTACACCGGCACGTTGCAGGACGGCAGCAAGTTCGACTCAAGGTCAGTGACATCTCGCAAAAATCGCGAGCGATGAGAATCCAAGTAGATTGGTGATTGTGCGTAAGAGATGTGCGAGATGAAACAATTCTGTCGATGACGAGATCTCCCTGTTAACGAGACGCGTTGGTGATGGATGCCGATTTATAGCAGGATTAGTGGGAACCATGCGTATCTGGAGAACACGATGATGACGTTACGCGTTAGTGACTAAGCCTAAAGTCGTTAAAGGCTGTAATAAGCCTTTTTTACTGCTGATGTAATACTTTTATGTGTAAGGCTTTCAATATTTTTTTTTAACATCTTTTCTCCGCTAAAAGTATTTTTATAGGTGCAATCAATGAGTTTTCAAATGAAATGAACTGCTTATCGCGGTAGCTGCACGAACGAGTTAAAAATAAAATGGATTGAAATAGAAGCTGTCATGAGTTGCTTAACACAAATCGATTAATTATATCTCGAGAGAGTTAGGATCTATTATCGTACTCCGATTTAATGCAGCTAATAATTTAATTTCACAACTCGTTTATGAACGTTGAAAATAAATACGAGACTCTCGGATTTGATATTTAACATCTATGAAAAATAACTTTGTGTTGCGTATGATTAAGTTGGCGGAAAAAATTAGATGGAATACGGAATAAAAAAATATTATTCATCGACAGTAAAAATAGTCCAGCAAATCTAATAATTTTGTTAAAATTCACTTAATAGTGATACAATATTCTATCTCTCGAATGTGTGCTTTATTCTTTTTTTACTCAAATTATTTTCCAATCTGCTTTTTCACAAAATTTGATTGAAAAAGTTCATCGTATGTAATTGTTTAAAATACCGTACACGAGAAAGATCGAATTGACTATTGCAGAATCGAGAAAATCTAATTAAAGGAAATTAATTTTTAGAAAAATCTTTTATCGTTTTAATTTATTTATTCAAATGGCAATTATTTTATTAAATATTTTATCGGAGTTGAAAAAGGGAAAGAAAATGCAAAAAAATATGCCAGAAAGAGTATTTTTCAACACGAATATGTATTCTAAGATAGCGCGAAAATATTCTCGCTCACACAAGCCAGCGCGTTCCTGATGACGTTAACAATACACGGAGAGAAAGAGAAAGAGGAAGGAAAGAGAAGCAGCATGCGAGCCAATCTTCTGGTTAGAAGATTCCAACGTGGACACGTTTCATTGGCGAACGGGATGATGACGTGTACCGGTTCGAGCGAGACTCTCTCGTCGCGCGAAAGTCACTTCTTAGCATATAATAAGAAGATGTTAGGCTGCTCCCAGTTGCCCCGAAGTCATTGCTTTCACATGGGAACATGACCGACATAACAAACACGACGAAATAACATTCACGTGGCACGTAAGCGAATCGAAATGCGAATAATTGGGAATATATCATGCTTTATTTGCTAGTTAAACAGAGGATCATCGTGTGAATTTGCGGAAGAAAATTTTATAAAGTATTTCTCAAGCATTTCTCACTTTCGAGAAATAAATATTTCAGATGTGTGCGCGCGCATTTAATTAAAATATAATTAATTAAAATATAGATTTTTTTTTATAGAAGAGAGAAATGTCATTTTTTTCATCTCGAAGATCACGAGCATGTAAGAAGTGACACGATAACCTTTCTGATTTGAAAACTATTTGTCACTAATACTAGATAACTCTCATCAATAGTCTACCGTTTTTTTTAGCCACATCAATTGCTCTAGATCAGATTTGGCTTGAGACCTGCTTACGTTTTGTTTCTCACTCTTTTTTACGATTAACTACTTGTACATCTTGGAGTGACAACTCACTTTAAACTATTGATCGATCGGATCGCTTCCGATGCCGGGATAAAAATTTACTGTTGCCTTTGGAAGCGTCGGCGCGAATGAATAAGAGATACAGTTGAAGAATGCAAAAGGTAGAGAATATTTTATTTAGGTGAATTTATCTTTTTGTAAATGTTTGAGCATTTCTTATCTGAACAATATTTTTTGCAACAGAAATATCAGGTCGCAAAACGTTAAATTTAGAATAATCCCGAGATATTAATCAATCAATTATTTATCTATATTTTATTATACTAGTGATAATAAACAGTTCTTTTTAAATGAATAGAATTTAATTAATCTCACCTTATGTCTTGTGTAACAATTATTATAGACTCAATATTTTTTGCTATCGATTAAGTTATTGACATAAAATGTATCTTTTGACTTTTGTAAACAGATATTCGTTAGTCGATTAAATTTATTTAGCATGATTTATTTTCGGCAGTATATAAGATATCGCAAAGGTCACTTCGAGCTTAATATCGCGTCAATATTGATAGGAAAATTTCTGACGATAATTGAGATAATGATTAATTTTGAATATAATATCAATATACAGCAAAAATATGATGAAGGAAAAAGTAGGCGAATAAAATATTCTTTTTCAATTAATTTCGATGCAATTTAAAGAAGAAAAGATAGGACCATTAAAAAATCATACCATAGACGTACCATTAAATCAACTAATTGCAGCTTTTCGATATAGTCGCTTTCAAGTTATTTTAGCCACAGAACATTTCTCTCTTTCTCTCTCTCCTCTTTTCTCTTTTCTATAATAATAATAACGTATATTAATACTCCATCATTTGAGAGTGCATTAATGATGCGCAACGATGCAGCAGTGCAATGAATAATGCTTTGTTACAGGCGGTTTGCGCGTCACATTATACTCTTTTTGTTTCGCCTGTTTAAAAACATTCTTTACTCCAAAGAATATCATAATTACATTAAGCAATATACTTCGTTAAATATTTTCGCATATTAATAATATTTTGCCGTATCTCTCTTTTGCGTTCTCATATTTTAACATTAGTATGACATTTTATACCGAAAGCATAATACAATGAAAACATGTGTATGTTATTTTAATCATTTTCGATTTATCATATTTAATAGCGGCATAATGCTTTTTTGTTTCAAACGATAAATGCAACGTAATGTATTATCGATCTATTCACCGACAGGATTCATTACCGATCTTGCACAAAGTCCTCCCCGTTAATGAAACTATCGAGCTCGCAATCCGATCAGTTCAACACATGTTTCCTTTGAAGTTGAAAGATCTCCCAAGTATCCGTATACGAGTACATCCTCTCAAGTAACTAAACGGATAGCTTTACGATGCATCACCCTACATATAATAAAATTGTCCATTTTTCCGAAGACTTAAATACTGTGGAGAATTAAATACGTGTTTACCGCAAATTAAGTAAAAGATTGGTGAATATTTTACTGACAGATAGATAATAAAAAATACTGTCCTTTTTGCAGCGGCTAAATCATTTGCTGACCCGTTATAGATACCGTTAATCGGACAACAGATACCTCGCATATAGAACATTTACTGTCGACAGTCATATAAAAGAGAGAAGAAAATTACGACTAAAGAATATTAAAAATTATATTTTCTTTTTTTTTTTAATTTCCCTTTCAATTATAATATATTATTAAATATTAAATTATTTTTATTAGCAGTGCATTAATTTATTTAATTCAATCCCATATATTTTGAAATAATTACAAAGTAATTTAACCTTTTCTGTCACATGAGTTTAATTTTGCTATCACTGAAATGTCTTTAATTACAAAATATATGCGTATATTAATGCATAATAAGAGAGAGAGGGAGGGAGAAAAAGAAAAAAATGCCTGACATAATTTTCTGACCCTATTTTTACATTTTTTAAAATATAATTTGTCGATAAATCGAATTTCCTCCAGCAACGAGACGTAAAAACAGGATGGAAAGTTATATTGGGCATCATGTTAACTGCAGGAATATTCGAGAATTCCTCTATCGCTTTTTCGGGGGCTTTATGTCGATTGGACTGCTTTTTATGGAGCATCGCAATCATCTGTTTATCGCCTCGCATTCCATTCGATCCCATTATTATCTTCTTTACTCGAGAACGCCTCTACCACGAAAAAGAGAAGCATACAGTTGGCGAAAACGTTGACTCCATTTGGCATAAGTCTAGTTTGTCCCCAAGGCGGATTCTGCGGCGCCGGAGTTTTCCATCGGATCCACTTCCACGGACGCGATCTGAGTCCCTTCTCGAGCAAGTTTTGCACCCGAAACCATCTCGACGAGACTTTAATGCACTTCGCGACATTCCTACACCAATTTTACCTATATACTTCGTCTCGTCGTATCGTATTCTTTTCCCTTCGCGATACGCGTGTAGTATGCTTCACAAAAATTTTCTAACCATTGCTGTCGCAATTTTGTAAATTATCTAATGCACGAGAAAGCATGCAGTTTTGTTGATAAATTTTCTGCTGGATATAGTAATTTTAGTCTTTTTTCGAAATATAACCGAATGGAAGATTGCAATTGAGGTTCATGGAGAGGTCGAGATAAAAATATATGTGTTAAAAATGCGAGGAAAAAATCAGATTCGCAGGTTTATACACGAGTACTATCGATTGCAGAGAACAGAGGCATTTAAACTCGCCGTAGTGAGAATGCAAACGGGCACAAAATGTCGAAATTGATGTTTATTTATGACCCGCGTAGCTAGGGAGTGATGCTAAATAAAAATGTTACGCCACCTTAAAAAGCACAAACAACAGACATGCGGGTTTTTCTGCAATTTAGTTTTTTTTTAACGATCCACGCAATTCCATGCAATAAAATTAAATACATGTTTCTTGTCGATTAGCATCAAAAATATTACGATAAATTATGGTGAAGGTATCAAAAAAATATTTATTTTTACATATATTTATAAAAATAGTTATTTATTTGTGTCAGTATTTTATGTAAATTATTTATTTATGTAATGCTCTCTTTGTATTTATATATTATTATTTTTATTGACTTGGAGTGATTTTTAAAGATATATATGAATTGAATATAGAAAAAAGTAATTAGTGCTGTTCATCAATCTGTTAGTTTATTTTTATAATTTAGTCATTATGTTCTTTCTCTTTCTCTTCTCATATATTATTT